TTTTTGTATTTTCTGTCGAACTATAACGACGTAACAGTGCTCAACGTAACAAAGATAATGTTTATACTCTCACTTGAGACTTCTCTCTTCCCGTACACTTTATTATTTAAAATATGATTATTTTATGCGTAATTTGTGGGCGGATTACTGGCGTTAAAAATACGATTTCGATCACAGATACCTTTTGATTTTTCCACGACATGTCAAAAACAATTAACTAAGTTCCTTGAAAGAAAAATCGTCAAAATATGCCAAACAGAAATCGTAGAAAACGATTTTCATTTAATTCATAGCGGAAAACATCTGTAAACTAATTTAACTTTACAACTTAATATAAAAACTTTTTACTCAACAAAAAAGCATAATGAAAAAAAGGCGCCAACAGGCTCCCGCATTTTGTTTATACGTCAAATAATAAAGCGAAAGTTTTCTCGTGTTTTCTTAAAGGAAAAGCGAAAATATTTGAAAGCAGGCTGAACTTAAATTTATTACACCATTACTCTTAATCATAAATGTGGAAACGGGATAGCGGATATTTAAAAGAAATGGGAATAGTGTTATGTAAGAGAGAGATGGATGTATTTACACTGCCGCGCCCTTTTGATAGTGTTTCCAAATTTTCGGAAAGCATCGTGAATTGTTTGCTATAAGGGACAGCTTACATGACGGGATATTATATTTACATTTAGTAGGGTTTTAGTAGGTACACAAAGTTTGAGTTGTCAAAGTCGTGGACATAATTTTTCTACTTATTTTGAACTATTATTTGGTCTCGTATCGTAGATGATTTGTACTAAGTAGTTTATGAATAGTTTAAAAAAACAAAACAAGTTTCAGAAATTTACTGTACATTGCATAATAATAGACTAACATTTTTGGGGATCAAAGAATTTAATCATCACTTATAGTCTTTTTTTAGGTAAGAAAAAATTATATGTGAACATAAAATAGTGTACTAGACTTATAAGTTTTATTCAAATGTCATATTAAGTCGGTCAATAAATCTATTTGTTATCAGTGTTAGATATGTTGCTGCATGTAGCCTAACCTTTAACGATAATGCACCGGCCCCTGTCGAAATAATCAAATCGAGGGGTAGCCCGTTGGGGTGAGATTTTTGCTATTTTCTACAAAAAAAGACACATTGCACCGTTTTTACCTAAAACACACCAGTTTTGAGCGCACGCGCAGACAGTAGCACGTGCCGATTAATTCGAATTTCGAATCGCACTTTTCAAATTTCGAAAAATTTTCAAAGTGTTATTGTTCTGTGGACAGTTGAACTTTTATGTGACGTTTATGAATAATGGTGACCAGTGGTGAAAGTTGACAAATGAAGGAAAATTCTGAATTTACTGACAGAGACAGGTGAGGTTTCTAATTAGAATCGCCTACGGAGATAAAAAAGTTTTTATGTTCGTTACAATAAAAAAACAAAAAAAAGATTGTCTTGTCTTGTATTTTTGTAGAAAAGTTTTTCTGCTTACTGTGCCGTAAAAAGCAAAAACGAATAGTAGCAAATACGGCTGGTAATTTCATATAGAGCTCGGTTGTTTGTTTCTATTATTTATTAGTGCATTTTGAATGGCACATATATCAAATTATATTTAAAAGAATTCTGCAACTATAATACAATATTTTAAATATTACTATAGTTTTTAAATTAAAATAATAATAATAATAATTAATAAAAAAATATAGTATATTTAATTAAAAACCCAATGCTCATTCCATTTGTTAATTTTATTAAGCTTTCTCTCTAGTTAAATCTTTCTGCCGTTATCAAACGTGTATTTTAATCGTAAATTAATAATCATACTTATGTATAACAATTAAACCCACTACTTAATGAATTTATCACGAAATACTTAACGATTGATTAATGGTAGTATAAAGCAACGTTTTTAGCATTCGATATATTAAATAAACGTTTTATATCTTGCGGAAATATTCATTATTTTTAATGCTATTTAAAGATTTTTCTTACGAATTACGTAAATATGTATTTTATGGCACGTTATTATTTCGTACCCATTTTGTGATGACCCACTACGATTGGTTATAATTGAGGTAAACTTTTTGGACTATATTGATCGAAAACATGACTTGTGTTATGAACCATTTTCATCGTAAATAGTAAATATTTTAGATATTTAAAATTTGGGACAATATCATAAGATTTGTGATGGCTTAACGTTATTACATTAATATCTATTAGATTTTGCATTATTAATATATGTAAGAGATAGCAGTGTTGGCCTAATGGTTTCAGCGTGCGACTCTCATCCCTGAGGTCGTAGGTTCGATACCCACCTGTGTACCAATGCACTAACATTCGCTCAAACGGTGAAGGAAAACATAGTGAGGAAACCGGCTTGCCTTAGTCCAAATAGTCCACGGTATGTGTCAAGCATAGGAGACTGATCATCTACTTGCCTATTAAATTTACAAATGATCATGAAACAGATACAGAAATCTGAGGGGCAAACCTAAAAAGGTTGAAGCGCCGCTAATTTTATTTATTAATATACATAAGATCTTTGTTTTAATAAAAAACGAACATAATTCATACCTCCAACAGTACCTAACTAGAAGTATAATTTGTCTCATATCAATTTCAGATGCGGCGGTGACGCGATGTCGGTAGCGCCGGCAGTGAAGCGCGAGCGCGACTGCGTCGGTCCCGGGGTGAGCGGCGGCGAGGGCGAAGGCGGTGGCAGTCCAGGTCGCAAGCGGCGCAAGCAAGCAGCACCGGTGCGATCGCAGCCCCCACCACTCGATCTTCACGCAAAAATGGCCGACATATATAAAAGCGCGATGGCTTTTGGTGAACTCACCCTGCCCACGTTTGATCCCCTTGCTGCATTTCGTCTGCTACCTCGACACGACCCCCCCAGGATTTTCAACCCTGAAGCCTACTGCGATCTGTGTTGTAAGGAGTTCTGCAATAAGTACTTCTTAAAAACGCACCGAGCCAATAAACACGGTATTTACGATGGCGAACCCCAAAATCATCCTGGTTTTCAACCACAAATGCAGCAAACTTCACCTCCTCGACGAGCTTCAGATGAAGAATCTGGTGGTACACCACGCCGTCTATCACCCGACTCGGCGAGACGTGCCCGCGAATCTGCATTCCAGCCTGATGTACTCCGGCGACTTGGCGTAACAAATCCAGAAGCATTTTGTGAAATTTGTTGCAAGGAGTATTGTAATAAGTATTTTTTGCGCACCCATCGAGAGAGAAGACACGGAGTTCCTCCTCTACGTTCACCCGCAATGGATACTTCACCTTTAGCAGGGACTTCACCATCTATACCTATTTTACAGACATCACCTCACATCGAAACTCCACCAAGAGCGCTATCCCTACCACCACCGTTTGATAATGAAGATCCTCCTGAAGTAAAACAGGAGCGCGAGGATCGCGAAGAATTAGAAACTGTGTTAAGGGAAAGTCAAACAAGCCCTTTGAATTTAATAGTCGAAGAGAGGGGAGTAGCGTCACCTGGGTCTGCAAGTGAAGAATTACGCAAGCTTCAAACTATGATATCACAACTAAATGAACTTGCAGCAGAGCGACTCGTAGATGAGCCTAACGAGACACCTCGACCCCCTTCATCTTCTCCCCCGCCCCAAGATGAAAGGCGTGGCGGGGCAGGCTCGAGTTTTTGTGAGATATGCAACAAAGAGTTATGCAATAAGTATTTTATGCGAACACATATGCAACGTATGCATGGTATCTCGTTGGAAAGCGGGACGCAGCTAGGAGGTGTCACGTGTGATATTTGCCATAAGGAGTTGTGCAGTAAATATTTTTTGCGCGTACATAAACATAACACACATGGAATTCCCGCTCCTCCCGCTCCCGCAAACGCTGCTCCCTCGGAGCCCTGTCCGCTATGTGCCCGGCGCTTCCGCGGCCCACGTGCGCTCAGAGCTCACTTACTAGCTGAGCATGCTCCACCTGCCCGACCACCTCCACCGCCGCCCTTACCTCCGCGGCCGTTAGACCTTCTCGCACGCGACAAACCATACGCGTGCGCTTACTGTCCGTTCACTACCGATGTTCTCGCCTTTTTGTTTGCTCACGAGCGAGCACACATTCAACGCGCTAATGAACAACAAGAGAGTGGAGATATGGAGCAGGAGGGTAGTGCTGAGCCGAGTGAAACAGGTGAAGTTGAGGCGGAAAATGACGGTGATGCATACTCTTGCTCAAGATGTGAGTTTCGTGCGGAAGGGTTTGCTGCACTCGAAGCCCATGTAAGGTCGACGCACGGCGGCGCAGGTGCTCTACTGGCAGTGCCACGAGCGCCACGTGCGCCTCTTACAATGCAACCGTTTGTGCTAGAGGAGGCGGGCGGCGCGCTCAGTCTCCTGCCGGCACTCGTGTTCTTGCCGGTGCGCCGTCGTGCTACTCGCCGTGCCACCGTCACGCTCACGCTAACGCCTGCCTAGTTCGTCGCGAGTAGACGGACGCAGTCCGTTATCAAGGTGCTGTTTGCGATGATAGTGACTTGACAACGGGCTGTAGTTTAGATGCGACGGTCCGACCCGCGCGCGTCCGCGTCCGTCGACTACACCGCTCGCGGACGCGCGCTCGATCGCCGAACTGTTGAACTACATTTAACGCTGTGTGCCTTCGAGCGATTGCCGAGAGATAGACGATCGTTCTTGAGGAGCTGTCCGCGGCCGCCGCCTGAGCGCTACAACGCGCGGCGGCCCCTGCTCTTTTTTGATTTAAATTCGTATATTGAGAATTATATTCACGGGTGATATATGAAACGTTGCCGCTTATGAATCGGTTTTATTATCTCCTCGACGTTGGGTCGGTCCGAGACGAGTTTATGAAACGTCGATTTCGATCAGGAGAAGAAATACACCCTAGGATTAGTTTATTTAAAGTTTAAACGATACGTATTCCGGTGAGTGCGTACTTACGATAGCGTCGTAGTACCGGTGCGATGTTGATCACTGATCGAGCGCCTCGCGGGCACATGGACATCCGGGCGAGCCGCGCCAGCAAGCTGCCGCCGGGCGCGCCTTCATGTTGTACGCCACATCACGATGGATTGCGATTTGCGACACGACTGCGCGCCGCGGTCAGATCTCACCCACAGTACAAACCAGGTGCCACACATACGTACTGCGACAACCGTTCTACCTCACGTTAGTTTCTAAGCTGTTATTGTATAAATATATTTTGGAGTTAAAGTACAAAGTAAACTTATCGCCGCGGACGGAGGCCGCTCATGTTAGCTATATATTGTTGTCTAGAAGTGAGTAATGCACAAAGATACGTACTATTGGGCAGTGATCAACATTAAACGTAATTTAGTATAAACTCTGTTTAGATGTGGTGTGGCTCGGCCAAGCGGTTTTGTTGTGTAACACATCAGTAATACGGGTCATTGTTTTGGGGAGGTGAGCTCAGCTCTGCCTACCTCGTAGTCGTCGGCCGAGCCTTATTTTAAATTTATTTCTATTGTAATTTATTACTTACTCTGTTATTGCAGCGCTTAGATATCTCTCTTATGGTGGATAAATGTCATAAATCAAACAAAGAAAAATTTCCGGTTTCAACAAGTTTAGGTTTCATCTATAATCAAAGCCATTGAGAAAAAGCCTAAAGATAACGATGATTATATTTCCAAAAATAATAAAGACACGAATACTGAATCTTTTCAAATTTTCTAATTTATCGTAAAAGAGATATCTAAACAGTTACTTGTTCAGAAATATATTCAAAAACCAATTTTGAAAACAGGTTTATTTATATTATTTAGTAGATCATTGTGAAGGATAGCTTGTACAAACCATGCAGCTTCTAAAAAAAGTTCCTATGTATGTACGTAAGATGTAATTTAATTAACTAGAGAGGTCGACTGCGGAACGGCTGCGGAGCGATGGCTTCCTGACGATTTACATGACGGTCAGGTAGTCACACAGATTATTGTACTCGTCATTTGGTACGCATATGTCATTCAAGAAAAATCTATTTTATATATTCAACACCAGATATGGTAGCATTGCTAGGGATTGTGTACGCTTGCTACAATTTACTAAGTTTTCTGAATGACGTAAACAAATACAATTAAATGTTCCTAAACAAGTTCCTTTGCTAACACGTTCTTCGGTATTTTGAACCTTCCTAACAGTCTTCCTATAGACAAAACTCGCTACGGAGCCGGAACGCAGTCGCGCAATACAACAAATTATATTAATAATGTTTTAAATATTAACAAATTAAAAAGTACGCGTGGTTACGATCTCTATAGGTGTCCGAACTTTTGTTGGGGTGCGTAGAACCATATTTGGAGACGCGATTTTTACTGTTAAAAAGTTCGTACGGCCACAGAGATCGCTATATGTAGTGAAATGATGTTGTGTTCAATCGCTTGCGTTGTACCTCGAGTGGATGACCAATATAGTTTAATTAAAAGTACAAATTGATTAAGAATTACAGCGGCGTCTGGTGATAGACAATTACAGTACAAATTAATGTTAAGCGTAGATACAGGAATACAACAGATGTTTAGATGTAATAATTTCACTCGGGTACAGCGCGTTCACATACAGTCGCACTTTCTAGATCTTATAATTAACAGACTCCAAAAAATATAGTTTTCTAATAATGGAAAATCAATAAATGTACTATTGATAACGGCAGAATATAAGCATTTTTTTATATAATATTTAAAGTGGTATATTAACATGATTTAGTATGAATTACCAAAGATCTCGAAGTCATTATTTAAATAGATATAAATTGTTCAATCTTATCATAATTGAATTATACAGATGTTAATTATTAAAATACGAATCAATTATGATGATAATTGAACGATGATCTCTATTAAATTTAGTTGTAATGTGTTTCTAGTCTTATTTTTAAGTTTGTGCGACTGTATATTATAATGGTATTTATTTTCAAAGAAATCTGTGTTATTTCTAGTCAAATTATTTTATGTATTTTCCAATTTTATCGATATGGACTGAAGATCTTAAATGAATAAACGATATTTTCATACAGATTTCCTAATCTTCCAAACAAAGCGTCCGTATTGGTAATATTAAATAAAATATAAAGAGAATTATATCCAGGCCTGGCGGGCCTAATCTTAAACTGTGCTTGTTACGCAATATTTGGGTTAAATTTTAACTGATATATCCGAGTAATATATCCGATATTACTGAGATTTTTTACTCCCATATTCATAAATTAGTTCAGTGTTGGCCTAGTGGCTTCAGAGTGCGACTCTTATCCCCGAGATGGATCGATTCGATTCCCGGTCGTGCACCAATGGACTTTCTGTCTATGTGCGAATTTAACATCGAACGGTGAAGGAAAACATCGTGAGGAAGCCGACATGTCTTAGACCCAAAAAGTCGACGGCGTGTGTCATGCACGGGAAGCTCACCTACTTGCCAATTAGATTGACAAATGATCATGAAACAGATACATAAATCTGAGGCCCAGAATGTATCGCCACTGATTTATTTTTTATTCATTAGTATTACACTATATAAACTAAAGCACTAACTATTTCATATTACAAGACGAATTAATGCTTGAATAGTTATCAGTGTTTTAGTTTTCATTTTGACCGTATTTAAGGCAGCTTTTGACGCGCACCACAAATATGTGGAACCAGCTGCCCATTGAAGTATTTTCAAACCAATTTACTTAACGTTAGATGAGCCTCCTGCCCGTTTGGCTCCTATTACATTAAAAATACCTAAGGATAAACAATGATGATCTAATGTCTAAATTTGAATTTATATGAATCATTAATTTTTTTCAGTTTTATAAACAGAAATTTTAGTGATAAACAATAATATATTACTCAATGTTTTTGTATTAATTTAACTATATATTACAAATGTTAATAAGCCAAATATTGCGTAGCAAAGTACCGTCGGTATATGTTCCTAGATCCGTCTGTTTGTTGTTTGTTTTCAATACTACGAAACATTTCTACCGTATTCAATAAATTAAATATACAAATACTTGTGTTTTTCAATTCTAACGAGTGTCCTAAACTCCTGATGTTTTTATTATGACAAGAAATTATACTGGACGAAATGCGTTTACACATTTAGTACAACCAAAGTAGCAGGGGTACGTGGGACTGGAACCACACCAGAATCGGTCAAACTCAGAGAGTGGGTGAGCAATACCCGCCTTGGGTAATTACCCTAAAACCACCTTGGGTAGTTCCTACAACGCCACGATAGAAGGTTTCGACGAGGCAAGAAATCCTACCAAATATATTGTTTTTATCTATGTGAAATTATACCATTGCTTGTCCAGGTAATAAGAACATTAATCTATGTGTTGAACCTTTTTTTAATTAATTTATTTCGTAATCTGACAGCTAACATAAATTATATATAACAAAAAATTATAGTAAAGAACCAAAGCTGGAATACATAATATTTACAAAAACATTGAAACATTTTAAACAAGGAAAACATCTTTAAAATATATTTTGGTATTGGTGTTGATGTGGGGAACGTGAAACAAACCACGATTACGAATTCTACCATGTTCCTAATTTTTCTAGGAGTGATCTGCAATTAATTTTATTTGAGATGATGTCATGAAGTAGCCGTATTGTATTGTTATCGTCGAGAGTCTAATTATTAATCTATAATCATATTTATTTATAATTTCTTCAATCATTTTGTCACCAAATATAAATTTCGAACAAAGACAACACACTTACTGACGCCACATTAATAATTACTAAGACCAAATAAAAATAAATGTTACCCACGAAACTTAATGCATTCGAAAAATGGCGCCAAAACCTATTCGATCACAACGCATGCGCGATGTTACGGATATGATATAATGTATCTGTTTTAATAGCAAGAAATAACAAATTTATGGGTCATTCATATTTTCGTAACAACAATATGATCATATTTAATTATAGATTAATTGATTATATGTATTGCGATTATTCCCTTGTTAGAGGTTCATCCTGGTCAAAGGATGTTTAAAATAATAGATTATTAGTCTAAAGAAAAAACTTTTTGACCGGATTAAAGTTATTTCTTTAAATGTGTAAAGGTTATGTTAATCAAAGACAATACTAGATTATTAGTCTATATTAACCACACACGTATAACAGATTAATAATATTAGGTCCTTACATATGAAATTGGCGTTTTTCGTACTGGCCACTTTAATCACGATGTTCTCCTCTTTGGTAAGGAATTCCAAAATCAAATTTGTACAGCTATTTACTCATGTATTTGTGCTTCGATGACCGTCATTCATTTGTTTTTTCTTCTGTTTTTTTCTGTTTGCGTCACTCATTTTACAAAATGGAAAACTTAAAGTATCGCATTATTTACGAGTACGAGTTCCGCCGTGGCACTAGTGCTGCGGAAACGACTCGAAGGGTGAATGATGTGTATGGCGGTCATGTTGCAAAAGAAAACACAGTTCGTTTTTGGTTCCAACGTTTTCGTTCTGGAAATTTCGACCTGCAGAACAAGCCCCGTGGACGGCCTGAGACCCAAGTTGATAATGAAGTATTGAAGGCTATTGTGGAAGCGGATCCATCGCAAACCACGTCCGAGTTAGCTGCAGGCTGCGGTGTTAGTGATAAAACTGTTTTAATTCACTTGAAGCAAATTGGGAAGATTAAAAAGCTTGAAAGATGGGTACCTCACGAATTGACTGAAGCAAACCGGCAAACGCGCATAGACTGCTGCGTTACATTACAGAACCGGCACAATAATGAAGGTATTTTAAAACTAATCATAACCTGTGAAGAAAAATGGATTCTTTACGATAATCGGAAGCGCTCAGCGCAATGGTTGGATCCTGGCCAGCCAGCCAAATCCTGCTCCAAGCGAAAATTAACCCCAAAAAAGTTACTTGTAAGCGTTTGGTGGACTAGTGCCGGTATTGTTCATTGCAGTTTTCTCAAATCTGGCCAGACTATTACGGCCGATGTCTATTGTCAGCAATTGCAAACCATGATGGAAAAGCTAGCGGCTAAACAACCTAGGCTGGTCAATCGCTCCACGCCACTGCTACTTCACGACAACGCTAGACCACACACTGCACAACAGACAGCTACAAATTAGAAGAGCTTCAATTGGAATGTCTAAGACATCCTCCGTACTCCCCGGACCTTGCTCCAACAGATTACCATTTTTTTCGAAATTTGGACAACTTCTTGCAAGGGAAAAAATTTAACTCTGATGGGGCAGTCAAAATCGCCTTCACAGATTTTATTGATTCCCGTCCGACTGGTTTTTTTAGTAAAGGGATCAATGAACTACCTATGAGATGGCAAAAGTGCATAGAAAACAATGGTTCCTACTTTGATTAATTAAATATATTATATTTAAAAATATTCGACTTTTTGTTTCCCATACAAAACGCCAATTTCATATGTAAGGACATAATAGTTATTTTAAAATTTAATGAATGCTTATAAGTTATAACATGAAATGCTATGCTAATTATTCTGAATAGTGTAACTCGGCAATATGTTCTTGAAAGAATAACTTAATTCATTTTTAGTAATAAGTATGTAAAAGTAATAATAATAATAATTAGACCTACTAGGGGTCTTAATTCATCGTCAAATCAAGAATAATTATAAATATCTTTATCAAAAATTTATATTATTATAAATGGTTTAGAAATGAAAAATCAGTGGCGCTACAACCTTTTTAGGTCTGGGCCTCAGATTTCTATATCTGTTTCATGATCATTTGTCAATCTAATAGTAGGTGATCAGCCTTCTGTGCCTAACACACACCGTTTTTTGTGTCTAAGGCAAGCCGCTTTCCTCGCGATGTTTTCCTTCACCGTTTGACCGAAAGTAACATGCGCATATAGAAAGCCGGAGATCGAACGTACGACCTCAAGGATGAGAGTCGCATGCTGAAGCCACTAAGCCAACACTACTCTATGTTATAAATGGTTTACACGATTAAATAATCCATAACTACTAAAACAGTATTATAATCCCAACATAATTACAATATAGAACACAAAGTGACTTGACGTAAATTTCCCGACAAAAAAAAACTCTTAATTAAAGATTATATCCGCGTCAACTGTCGGCTTTAGATTAATAAAAAAAATACAAAAAATCCCTGTTTTATTAAAAAAGCGACACCCATTAAAAATCCGAGGGTGCTTTGTAGTGCATCTGTCAAATGTTTTATAGGAAAACTATAAAAAGGGAGGAATTGTTGAAAAATGGGTTAAATGATGAAAAAATAGCAAAACATTGTAACACGAGGGTTAAACCCGTGACGATGTCAACATTACGTCAACTTAACCCTGGCCTTAGGCCGATACGGTGTTATTTAAATTTAGCATTTTTATTGCTATATATGAAATAAATACTGGCCTTAGTAATGGGCTGCGTCGCTTGTATTTCATTTTGATAAATATTTTTGTCCCACAAGATAAGTTAACTAGAGAAAATTGACATATCATAAGGAGAATATTCAACAGAATCAAAACGTTTATTACGTCGGTCGGTGATTAGGTCGGTCAGTAAGTATATAATGTGTTTAAGACTTTAATATATAATCTCTTCATCATGCAAAACGAGCACAATTTAAATCATCATTTTTTTAATCGACATCACAGGAGACCGAAGAGTCCTCGACAAATAATTAGTCTAGCTATTCAAAGAGGGAACGCTGCCAGTATCTTTGGAACCTTGCCTAAAGGGACTCCTTTTAAGAATATATTTTAGTTGCTTTATTATATTTTTTAAGGTTTTTAGTTTGAGATTCAAAGGATGTTATTTTTACGTTGCTTAAAATTAATGTAGTTTTTTTATGTGTGTACGCAACGGTGTTAAGACGTTATTTAAATCAATATATTTGTTTGTTGTGTCTGCGATCCTGAATTAATAAAAATATATTGTTCTGTTTGACGTGAAGCTCAGAAGAGACTATTCTTACAAAAACAATTTAATGTTAATAATTTAATATAAACAAAGTTATAATTACGTAGCTTCAGAATTTGTGTCGCATAAGGAAAGACTTTGCGGTATGCATGTTATAATAATAATTATTCAATGATTAATCATTTTATGTTTATTACATATATGTATTTATTTAACGGCGTAAAACAAAATTGCGTAAACTAGAAGTGATTTTTTGGCCTTGATAATAAATGACAGCGTGCACAATGTTTATGATATAATAAACGAATAATAACAAAATTTTAATAAACCAATTAAGTATAATTTACTTACTCTTTCATATTATCAAGTGAAATAAAACACCAATCAAATTATTATCGAATAATTCGGATATGTTTTGAAATAAATGTTTTATGATATAAGTAGAGCTCATTCTTAAATTTGTCAGCATAAGCTGTACCGTGAGGGGAGTTTTAAATAATAAAAATATAAATTGGACTGTATATAAACAGACACTCACTCACAATAGAACTACTACTAATGATTTTTTATTTACAGTATACATATTCAACTAAAAATATTATAAAATTAATACATGATAGTTGTACGGTTCCTGGGTCATCGGGGTGCTTTAGCTTAAATAGCTATGTAAAGAATGAATGCAATGTAACAGTTGAAGAGATTGCCTACGTCAGACTATACTATCGGGGCGTAATTCCCATGATTTAGGAAATTGCCACGCTTATAAAACTAAGAAAACCTGAATGAGCAAAATGTACAGCCTTGGCTCTTACAATAGTGAAAATGATTTTTAATTTTTATATTACCAGAAAATATTTTGCAATGAAAATTTTTCTAAAAGATCTAGGCCATTTCACGGCGACAAATTAAACTGTCAGTTTTTAACTCCACTTTACCTACGAGCTTACAAAACTAAGAACACCTGAGAAAGCAAAATAAACATAGGCACACCATACATAAACGGTAGGGTCACATTCTCGGCCAAGAATGATCTTAGGGTGAATATAAAAGTTTAATATTGATTTGAAGAATCGCATCTATAAACAATTGAGTAATAAGGTCCTGTTTCAGTGATGAGGTTTCAATGACGCATTTGGTGTAAAATTTTATGAAACCACAGAGCTGATTAAAGGTATATTAAGCTCTTGCGGCTATGTTATCTGTATTACGTACATTTCGACGCAAACTTCATGGATCGTTTTCATACGTAAGCATGCACAAGAATCATTCTCCACCAATCTAGTGATAAAACTTCGTTTTAATTAGTTGTCAAAAATTATAATTAAGGGTTTTGTTAAGAGGAGGATACAACTGCGTACATAATGTATATATAAAAGATATATTAAATGATAAATCACGTACTAAAATTCAAACAATATGTAATCAATCACGGAAATAATTTCACAATCTTGACATTCTCACCCTTACTTTTTATTACAAAAACATCCATTTTCCCTTTTTTAGCTAAAGTTCAATTTTATAAATTCGTTACGAGAATCTCTAAATCATTTCTAAACAACTTTTGTTAACCCCTTGCTAAGCGTGTCAGACGCGCGACGAAAAAACTAAAAAAAACTTAATTCTCCAAATACACAGTGACCTACATTCATTTGAACCCCGTTTCCTGATTTTTGTAAAAACTCCCCCTTTATTACAACTTTTTATATTTAATTGAATTCAATCCTTTGGAAAAGGGTTCAATAAACCGACATTAGCTTTTTATCTGTGGCGGGATTTTTTTGACGACTAGCTGTCATTGTCGCGCGCGAAAATTATACGTTTTGTCAAAATTTCGCGCCATTTACCACGGCCATCTGCCGGGGAGAAAAAAGTTTTTAATACAATGCAAATAGGGGTGCAGGACATTAATTTTTAAGGGAATCGATGTTTTTCGATAAAATAGGGAAATGCATTTAAAGTATAACGACATTGTCCCCTTATTTTAATATTAATGTCCGGTACTAAAGGGGATTCAATGTAAGCAATACATTCATATTTGCAAAGATTAATAATTTTGTAGCTCCTTTTGCTTCGATGTTTTTTAATTACATTATCCGCTTTATTTTAATTAATTATACAGTATTAACAACCTACGTAATAAAAATAAAAATTGATACATAGAATATTAAAACAAATTAAAAAAGCTTGGCCCTGTACCCTGTGTGCCTTCAATGCTGGCAGTATTTCCGCGATATTGCGATTCTTATTCGTTGAGGAAGGAAAAGCACCAGCTTTGGGGTCACCGGTACTAAACAGCTCATTTTAAAATAAATTAAATTGACAAAGGACACATCATATGATATACCATCGTAATCAATCTTTGGCGAAATGATTTAAATAAAAAACAATTGGACAAAACAATCATTTATTACAAAATTATCCATCATAATACATATATTCAATTAACAAAGTCGCAGCAAGCAATAGTGCTTTATCTTCTACGTCGAGATGTCTTTCGAAGGCCACGCCATACCTAAAAATTTATTTTTTTATAGTTACAATCAATCATCATAGGATTAGTAATCTCATAGGAATAACTTAAACTACAGATTAAATTTTGTAGCTGAGTCGCACCACTCTTAATAAATGTGAGCCTAAATTAGTATAAGTAAGTATTGGCCAAGTGGCTTCGTAGGATAGATCCCCGGCTGTGCACCAATGGACTTTCTATCCATGTGCGCATTTAAGATTTGCTCGAATGGTGAAAACAACGTGAGGAAACCGGCTTGCCTTAGATCCGAAAACATCGACGGCACGTTACAGGAGGCTGATCACCTACTTGCCTCTAATAAGATTGACAAATGATTATGAAACAGATACAGATATCTGAAGCCCAGACACTGATTTATTTTATTTTTTTAAATTTGTAAATAGTATGTTTTGTCGCCTTTTTTACTTGCAAAGCGGTAGGAGGGATAGGGATAAAAAATTTAATAGCTATTGGAGACTTACGTTAACAAATGAGAGTTACTTTTGCTATTTATAGTCAAATTTTTAAAGTCAAGTTGTTCTGCGCTCGTAAATTTACCTATCATGAAGTGGGGCGAAGAACATAGCATGCAGCAGTCCTTGCCAACGCTTGCAGGAACTGCCGACGTGAGACCCGTCCATCTTCTGTATTCTGAATTGCAGGTCTCTAAAGAAGCTTATCGTTATACGTGGACCTGTAATGTTTTGTGACCAATTTCAAATGTATAAAATTTTAATAGGTTAAATTGTACTGTGTAATTATCTTTAATAACTTTTGAATAAATGAAACTAAAACCTATTCAGTGAATGCGCAAGCACTGCACACAACATTTTAGATGTTTAGAGTGACTTCATCTAAATGGTCAACTGTAAACACAGGTTTAATTGTCATGTCAGTGGTCAATTGAGGCTGTCTGTAGACCTAAACCCAAAAATCACACCTAAAGTTTTTGCGTCAATGATAACTTTTTCATAAACTTAAGTATTTGTTTCTTAAATAAAGTAAGCTGCCATTATAGATTACTCCAATGCGGCAACTGTTTACATTTATATCACAAATACATACACATACAAAAATCAAGATTCAGATTAAAATATATACAAAAAGACTTATTATTTCTTACAGTATAATACTTTCTACTAGTATAAAACTTTGTATGGACAGCAAGACAAACCTACCGAAGTCGGGTTAAATAATTACATGGCCAACACTGAATTTGACAAAAACATTTAATACCTTTCTTACTATCTCTATAACACACTTTTTAGCTTATAATAAGAGGGTTAAGACGAATAAGAGAACTATGTTTATGTGTGTACCTATGTCGATCTGAATAAAAGGTTTAATATTTATATACATTGTGCGCCCTTTACGACAGGTTAGTTTTCGCTGACGGTATGAATAGTCGGTCGATGTCGCCGCCTAACATCAGGCGCCCTGGCTCTAGGCACTGGATCACTGACGAATTGTTTTCCTTTTCACGTAAACAACATATCAGATTTTTTTTATTGAAATTCTCGGCGACTTCGTTGCAGCTATTATATGCTACATTCAGTGGGATGCACACTATGAAACGCGCTATCAAAGTGATTAGACCTCTGATATATACAACATCGCAACCTCAGACACTGGGGCCTTCCAGCAGTAAAACTGTTCGAAGATCTTTAGTTGGAGACAAGGCCATGCCGCCCCTGTGTGCTAAGTGTGCGGCGCCCACGGGCGCCAAAACAATAAGGGCGCCGCCACAGAAATATTTTTTGTTACGCTTACACAACTACATATTCTTTGTAGTGGAATTTCGATCAGTAGGGACAATAGGCGCAAATTTAAATAGGAAAACATATATTTCGCTTATTGTACACGTCTCCCAAGATAATATTAACGTTTGTGCTTTAGTTTTACTTTGTTGGTCTATTTAATTTAAGATGATGCCGCCGAAGCTACGTCCGTTCCTCTCCCTGAACAAGCACGCGGAAGCGAACTGTTTTTTACCTACTTACCAAAATATAATCTAAGTATAATATATTCTGGAGAACATTTAATTCGTTAAAAATTAACAAATAATAAAAAATACGTTGAAACATGAAGATTAGTAATAAAAGAAGCGCTTCATAGGTCTCGCACTGCCGGCTGATTGGAGAAACATTAGGTACACCAATTACAGTGTACGAAGAATATACGTAGATGTCTCATGTTACCTCAAACATATTTGTCATATTGATAGTAAAGGCAATATTCCTTGTATATATCCTTAAATGATTACATCTTCTGACTAATAATGTTTCGTTTGCTTAGAACACAATTGAATTTACAATAAGTAAATTATTAAGTAGTGTATTTTGTATTTTACTTAACCGACTTCAAATTTATCGGATATATGAATATCGACAAAAAACAATTCTTTTGGGTTGACAAAAGATATATTTAAGTTGGCTGGTCTAGTTTATAGATCAAAAAAAAAAAAAAAAAAAAAAAAAAAAAAAAAGAAAAAAAAGAAAAAAAAAAAGAGGAGGGAAGGGGGGGAAGGGGGGGGGGGGGGGGGGGGAGGAGGGGGGGGGGGGGGGGGGGGGGGGGGGGGGGGGGGGGGGGGGGGGGGGGGGGGGGGGGGGGGGGGGGGGGGGGGGGGGGGGGGGGGGGGGGGGGGGGGGGGGGGGGGGGGGGGGGGGGGGGGGGGGGGGGGGGGGGGGGGGGGGGGGGGGGGGGGGGGGGGGGGGGGGGGGGGGGGGGGGGGGGGGGGGGGGGGGGGGGGGGGGGGGGGGGGGGGGGGGGGGGGGGGGGGGGGGGGGGGGGGGGGGGGGGGGGGGGGGGGGGGGGGGGGGGGGGGGGGGGGGGGGGGGGGGGGGGGGGGGGGGGGGGGGGGGGGGGGGGGGGGGGGGGGGGGGGGGGGGGGGGGGGGGGGGGGGGGGGGGGGGGGGGGGGGGGGGGGGGGGGGGGGGGGGGGGGGGGGGGGGGGGGGGGGGGGGGGGGGGGGGGGGGGGGGGGGGGGGGGGGGGGGGGGGGGGGGGGGGGGGGGGGGGGGGGGGGGGGGGGGGGGGGGGGGGGGGGGGGGGGGGGGGGGGGGGGGGGGGGGGGGGGGGGGGGGGGGGGGGGGGGGGGGGGGGGGGGGGGGGGGGGGGGGGGGGGGGGGGGGGGGGGGGGGGGGGGGGGGGGGGGGGGGGGGGGGGGGGGGGGGGGGGGGGGGGGGGGGGGGGGGGGGGGGGGGGGGGGGGGGGGGGGGGGGGGGGGGGGGGGGGGGGGGGGGGGGGGGGGGGGGGGGGGGGGGGGGGGGGGGGGGGGGGGGGGGGGGGGGGGGGGGGGGGGGGGGGGGGGGGGGGGGGGGGGGGGGGGGGGGGGGGGGGGGGGGGGGGGGGGGGGGGGGGGGGGGGGGGGGGGGGGGGGGGGGGGGGGGGGGGGGCGGGGGGGGGGGGGGGGGGGGGGGGGGGGGGGGGGGGGGGGGGGGGGGGGGGGGGGGGGGGGGGGGGAAGGGAGGGGGGGGGAGGGGGGGGGGGGGGGGGGGGGGGGGGGGGGGGGGGGGGGGGGGGGGGGGGGGGGGGGGGGGGGTTTTTTGGGGGGGGGGGTGGGGGGGGGGGGGGGGGGGGGGGGGGGGGGGGGGGGGGGGGGGGGGGGGGGGGGGGGGGGGGGGGGGAGGGGGGGGGGGGGGGGGGGGGGGGGGGGGGGGGGGGGGGGGGGGGGGGGGGGGGGGGGGGTTGGGGGGGGGGGGGGGGGGGGGGGGGGGGGGGGGGGGGGGGGGGGAAAGGGGGGGGGAAAGGGGGGGAAAAGGGGGGGGGGGGGGGGGGGGGGGGGGGGGGGGGGGGGGGGGGGGGGGGGGGGGGGGGGGGGGGGGGGGGGGGGGGGGGGGGGGGGGGGGGGGGGGGGGGGGGGGGGAAGGGGGGGGGGGGGGGGGGGGGGGGGGGGAAAGGGAAGGGGGGGGGGGGGGGGGGGGGGGGGGGGGGGGGGGGGGGGGGGGGGGGGGGGAAAGGGGGGGGGGGGGGGGGGGGGGGGGGGGGGGGGGGGGGGGGGGGGGGGGGGGGGGGGGGGGGGGGGGGGGGGGGGAGGGGGGGGGGGGGGGGGGGGGGGGAAGGTTTTTTTGGGGGGGGGGGGGGGGGGGGGGGGGGGGGGGGGGGGGGGGGGGGGGGGGGGGGGGGGGGGGGGGGGGGGGGACGGTTTTGGAAAGGGGGGGGGGGGGGGGGGGGGGGGGGGGGGGGGGGGGGGGGGGGGGGGGGGGGGGGGGGGGGGGGGGGGGGGGGGGGGGGGGGGGGGGAGGGGGGGGGGGGGGGGGGGGGGGGGGGGGGGGGGGGGAAGAAAGGGTGGGAATGGGAAAAAAAAGGAAAAGGGGGGGAGGGGGGGGGGGGGGGGGGGGGGGCGGGGGGGGGGGGGCGGGCGGGGGGGGGGCGGGGGGGGCCCGGCGGGGGGGGGCCGGGGGGGGAAAAAGGGGGGGGGGGGGGGGGGGGGGGGGGGGGGGGGGGGGGGGGGGGGTTGGGGGCGGCCCCCCCCGTCTTTTTTGGGTTTTGGGGGTTTTTTAAATAGGGGGGGGGGAAAAGGAAAAGGAAAAAACAAACTTTTTTTTGTCTCTAGTGGGGGGGCCCTTTCTTGGGGGGGGTGGGGGTGCCCGCCCCCGGGCCCTCGCCTTCGGCGGGCGGCGGGGGGGCGGGGGGGCCCGCGCGCGGGGGGGGGGGGGCCTTCTTTTTTGTTCCTTTTCCACCTGGCCGCCAAGCCAACTATAGATCAAAATTGGTCGCCGTCGTCTAGAAAATGTATGGTCCCTTTATTCTGAATTGATTCAAAAGTACTTAAACACAAAAACGTGGAAGTGATGTGCTATCATAAAACTAAGAATGAATGAAATTGTAGGTCTTGTGTATTTTCAAAATATAGTTATGAATTATATTGCGATTTACATTCGACAATGGTTAATTAATAAACTTTGCAAACAATAAATAAACCCTGAAGATTCACATAATAATTTATAAATTACAAACATATACATTATTATTAAATGTACGAATCTACTTACCAAGCAATAATATTATGAAAAGGATAAAAAAAATGTATGCGCCTCCAGAGATCACAGATTCACACTCCTCCATATTTATATTATTTTTGATCAAATAAGTACTTATCCAAGTTCCTAAATGATAAAACATAGAAAAGTGATAAAATCGTGATTTTTCTTCACGCTATGGTTGACACTTTAATAAATTCAGAATAAAAGGACTGATTCAATTCATTTGTTTTTATTGTAATAATAACAATGAAAACTCTTTTTTTATATAACTGTGAAATCACCATTCTCCATATTTTATTATAGAAATGGTGCTTTGATGGTTACAAGAAAAACTTAAACAATCTCGTACGTTTCGACGTGAAATACAGAATACAAATTAATTGATATTTTTACACAAAATACAGTGAAAACTCTACATATATACGTGTATTTTTGGCATTTAGTTTGTATGAACAGCAAGACATACTTACCGATGTGGGGTTTTTTCGATGTTTTAGTTGAGTGAATCACGTTTATTGATTTGTTTAAATTTAATACCTTTCTCACTCACACCCTTTTTATACTTATAACAAGAGAGTTAGTAAAGGCACGTTCAAAAAGTGTCTTAGTAAAAAATTACAATGATGCCTACAAGACTCGTAATCGTGCTGCTCTTTGTTTCACTTTCCTCACATCCACACTAACTATGCAAAAACTCAGTTTTGTATCGCACTGCCCGGGCATACAACCAATATTTAAGCCTTGACATGTTCAAGCTATCGCGGAATATGGTTGGTATGGTATGATACTTACCGTCACTTTTACACCATCAAAACACAGCCAAATTAGGTATTACTTAGTTAAATGTTTTGAATAATTTTATTGATTTTTCCCTTTTGTAAATATTTGAACCTTTTTTGTAAATATTATTTATTCTATCTTTGGCTATATTTTTAATGTAATTGTTTGTTTCAATATATAATTTTTGTTAGCTTTAGGATTACGAAATAAATATACCTTGAATCCAAAACACGGCATCTCCATTTTGTCTTCGAACGAGGTATATCGGTTTAATTGGTGCCCACTGTTGCTCAATGCTTCCGATTTTTCTTCCGGGAGGAGAAAATACCTAAAATACATATTGAATTTAAATAATGACTACTTAAGCATTTTAAGCTTAAGCTACAGTTTTATAATTATCTTAGGTGAACTGGAACAATATAGAGTTACCAACAGGGAGGCCGATCTCAGCCGGCCCGGACATTAGCGCCATATTAACAGACTACTTCTCTCTTCATTAAAATTGCATATAAAATGTTAAATGTTTAAAGAAATTTATTACTTATTACAAAAAGAATGTATTATATTTACATGTGAAACTGAATATGTATATACGAACGAGATACACGTCGCCATCAGCCGTCCCAATTTTAGTCTACTAGGCTCATTCTAATATATGTATCTTTAATGCCCTTTTGAATTGGTTAAACGCGCTAATATTACGAATTTTAGACGGTAATTGATTAAATAATTGCACACCCTCATACTCAATAGACTTCTTCAAATAATTTGTACGCAGCTTCGGCAAGATAAGAAAACTCACTCGCCGAGTATTGCGTGTAGTAGTGGAGATGGAGAGATTTATTTTAAAAAAACTTAATTAAGATACAGGTGCTATAAACAGATAACTATATGTTTATAGCACCTGTATCTTAAGTTTAATTGTCATAATTTTGTAAAAACATCAGGATCCGAATCGCTGTCGCTATTGATAATAAACAAACATAACAAGGGCCTAGATTTTCAGTACTTCGAAAAAAAATAACTAAAACCTTTTTAATCTTCTCCGCTCCGCTCCCAATGAAATATGGGACTAAAGTGCGCGCCAACCAGAAACAGTTATTGTTCGACAAAAGCCTTTAAAACTCCTCATAGTAAAATTTTATTACATATCCATTCGCACCTGTATGTTCTGCAACTGGCAAGGGAATATTCTAGAAGTACAGGCGTAGGGACGGCTAATCCTCATCACCTCTTCTGAGGAGCTGTTAAAGACTCGCAGTTGTAGAGGACGCAGGCCGTAGCATAGGTAGCCAACCCACCAGCTGGGGAATTAATGAATAAAATATATCACCAGAATAATATAATATTATGGCTGAATATAGAGGTTGAAAGCAGTGTTGACTTAGTGACTCAGACTGCGATTCTCATCCCTGAGGTCGTAGGTTCGATCCCCGGCTGTGCACCAATGGATTTGTTTTCTACGTGCGCATTTAACATTCGCTCGAATGAAGGTGATCAAGAGGAAACCGGCTTGTCTTAGACCAAAAACGTCGACGGCGTGTCAGGCACAGGAGGCTGATCACCTATTAGATTAACAAATGATCATGAATGAGACATAGAAATCTGAGGCCCAGACCTAAAAAGGTTGAAAAATAATTGAATTTTTATTGCGATATGACACTTACACTAAAATGAAAGAATATCTTGCTATTCTTAATAAAACTTTAACGGGCCTTTCAAACCCGAGTTCGTGCGTTGAAATCACAGCTCCAATAGAATTCGATTTATATGTGGACATAACACTCGCTGGTACGGAAAGCATCGTGGCGAAACTGGCATTCTAAAACCCAAAAATCTATGTCGTGTGGCTGAGAACCTTCTTGTGTATTAAGAAAATAGTCACGAAACAAATACAGAAATCTAGTCCGAGACCAGAGAAGAAGGAAGAAGTTAATTATGTGGTAAATTATTAAGAAGAAGATACCTATTTTCCTCTTCAATCGTATAGACGAGGTTACGGTCTGGTGTCCTAACAGAAAAGCGGTTCTTTTTGCCTCTCAAGAAGAGCACAGCTTTCACTCGAAGACGTTTTGTGATGAATAACCGGTCAACTTCAGCCAAATCACAGAGTATATTTTCATTTGTTGTTGCTTCGGTAACTTCAGGCTCTATCTGTTTACAAATTATTAATTGTGTTCTTTATTTTGACTATGATTTGCGTTTTGTTCCCACGAGAATGTAAGTGCGTGCTCCTATTTCACCATGCCTCCTGCTGATAGAGGACAAGTCTTTGTTTTTAATTTATTTTATTATCATTAATTACTTAAGATGTCATGTGGAACATAGTGTAATGGTTGCAGCTCCTTAAAAACGTTGTGTAAAAAGAAACATGGCGATTAAAAAGAGTGGCGGAGAGTTTATTGCCAGTTCTTCTCTTCCGTTCTACGCTTGATTTGAAAACTGGCACTAAATGTAAAGTTATAAGCGTTTCATCTACATTTCTTTTTTGACGTTCATAAGACGTGTACATTGTGTTACCTATATGATTAAATGATTAATATTGACTTGACTTGACTTGACTTGACTTATCACTTAATAATCCAGTGAAGCTATGCCATATTGATTAGATTATACAGCTGCTTACAATTCATACGTACGTATAACAGTTGAAATACTTTCTTATTCTCACTTTACGACTACGTATTAAGGCATGTATTCACTTTGATTAGTGCGAGTGCAAGTGATTAGTAATTTTTAAAAGAGCAGCGAGAGTTTTTTACGCCGGCTTTTTCTCTCGGCCTACACCCTGTCTTCTTTGCCGATGAGTAGGGATGCCTACAAATTTAATGACGTGGAATAAGTGATACATGTATCTTATGTTCCATAATAAACATTTTTTTTTTTTTTTTTTTATTGAAGTAGTGTCCAATTCTTGTTTAATGGTTCTGTTAAGTAAATTCAGTTGTCGGTCGATCAGCAAGTTTGGACGAAAACCGAGAAGCGCAATTGCAATTGGAAGAAGTACTGAAATTATTATTAAAAGAGATAAGAGTATAAGAAGAAGTTTTGGAAGCTGAACTTGCAAGACCAAGAAAAGTACTTATCGGTTTAAAAATGGATTAATAGAAGATCCATTAAGTGCGCAAGCTACCAACTCTTTAATGAATTGGCTGCTGAAGATACGACGGAATATTACTTTGCTCTCAGGTTGACCGAAGAGTACTGCTGCATGTCCAGACGTGTTTTGGCAGGCACGCTGCGAGTGAGAGGGAAGGGAGTGACGTGGCTACTCGCAGTTCACTCGTAAAAAATTACAACACGCTTTTAATCACGTTACTACGCAGACAACTAATCACCTGCACTAATCACTAATCAAAGTGAATAAAGGCCTTTATTTGATCAGTTTTGTTTCACAATGTTTGTTGTTAAGAAAATGTGAAGCAAAGAGAAGAATTATCTAATTTATCTAATTTATCGAAAGTAATCTAATTCTCTAATCTAAAAAATCTAACAATAGATGTTATTGCATGTGAGACGGATTTATTTAGTTGCACACTGACTGAATTCACAAGAATTGCATTATTTATAATTAATTATACAAAAGTTTCGGGTTTCGGGAAAAAACTTTTTTCTTTTCTCACAGTGGTTGCCTGGAGAGAAGAAGAGATCGCTCGAAAGCGATAAGGCCGCCAGTGTATGTAATTATGTGCATTCTATTATATTTCTGTACATGCAACGAAGTGTTAATAAATAAATATAATATATTACTTCTTCTTCTGTTGTAATATTATTAATTCACATTTGTAACTATCTCATTTATATCACTAGGGTAGCATGTTGGTGTGCAAATCATAAGTTCAAATACCGCATAGACCCAAAACATACTTGTATGCCTTTAAATTTTCCGAATAAAATATTTAATTCAGATCCAAATCCGAATGTAACGAAATCTTTAGATTTTAAGGTATCTTATAATTCATTGACACACTCTAGAGTTTAGGCCATCGTTTCTCAACCATTTTTATGTCCCGACCCACGAAAATGCCAAAAAGTTGCAATCGTACCGCCTAACAGTGTTTATTTTATAACGGTCAGCTAGAAAAAAAAAAGAAATTATAAGACAACAAATAATTTGTCAAAAAATTAAATCCTTCCGGAAACCCCCCCACTAACACTAGCTTTATGTTATGGTATTAAAGTTAAATTGATTTAGCGCTATTTTTTTTAACGAATCTTTTGTAAACCTATATGTTTATAGTTTGTATTTATGGTATTTCTCAACACATTTGCGATTATTTTGCCCCTTTTATAAACTTTTTTTTTTTTTGTGGTTTGTATTTATTATTTCTCACTCGACCCCTGGACCCCACAAGGATCACGACCCCCCCGCTTGAGAAACTATGCTATAGGTTAATATGTTATTCTTAACAGATGCTGTAAGGAAAGTTTATGTACCTGAGTCACTGGCAATTCCACAAGTTCCTTTAATAGTTCTGTATTAGGTTCGATTAGGGCGGGTATAGGCGTCGTCATAATATATAAAAATTAAAATTAAACTGGATCAAAACATATTACCTTGACGTTGTCATTTATATGCCAAAGAGTATATAACTATTATTATTGAGTTGGCTTGTGACAGATAAGAACTGAAGTTCTGAAGACTATTCAAAAGTAAAGGACGCTTTTTCAATGATATTTCGACGACACTCACACCGATGATACCGGAGATGGGGAGAGGGCTGAAAACTGAGGCATTGCGTAGAGATGTGGGGTCTCTGCATCTTCTGCCGCATTTACCATGGATAGTGTTCAGAGGAGTTGTTCGGATTAATACTAGCAGCTGAGTTTCATCATCGGACATCAATAAACAGAATAAAAAATACCATCCGTACCACCTCGACGTCCGTTGTTCCACAACTGAACGTTTCTTAAGGTTTTGGCGCGCACCACCACTATGTGGAACCAGCTGCCTACTGAAGTATATCCGAACCAATTGGACTTAGGGTCCTTCAAGAAAAGAGCATACCATTTCTTAAAAGGCCGGCAACGCACTTGTATTGTGTAATGTGTAACCACTCAGCCAAAGCCGTCTCCATACCATGTTTGAATAAAACTAGTTTTTTTTATAAATAAAAACGAGAAAATCTCACTGATTAACACTCAGTTAATTATAAGAACTTCAAATTCAATTATAAGAAAACTCATTGCATGGTTTTGGTAGCCTTATTAATTATTAATAAGGTTTTGGGATTTTAGTGACATTTTAAGCACGTTAAAAAAGGAAGCGCTATCTATACGTAAATAAAAAGCCCGATTAATTTCCAATTACAATAAAATAATATACAGCTTAGATTTGATATAAACAATTTTATATTTTTTTTCGTTATCCTTTGTATGCTTTATTCTAGCTACCTTCAGTACCGTAGATCGGGACTCCTTCACGGGTAAAGGTTTTTAGCTTTTTCCAACTAACTCTGTCCATGGCTTATACTCTCCATTCGCTTCCTGCTACCCCTTCTATTTCATCTATCCACCTTTTTTTGGGGAGCCCTCTTTTCCTTCTTCCACCTTTTATTTGTGCACCTTGCTATTTGCCCCACCCATTGTCTATATAATAAATAAAATTATTATAACTAAAGTAATATAATATTTAGTCTCTATTCGTTATTTATTCATTTACAGCTCGTCCTTTGACAAAATTTTAACAGGAATTAAAATTAATAAGCGTTTTAATTTTTAAATGAATTTAATACTTAATTTTTCCACCATTACGTAAACATAACAAAAATATATTTTTAGTATTGTTCTACAGTTTAATATTCAAACAGTTGTTGCGTTGCAAAAAGTTGAAATATGCATTAATTTTCTATGCAACATTTTTTTTGTTTTCACCCTCTGGTCATAAAATACGCTTTGTGAAAGGCGACCCATGCAAATATATTATTATTAACGGGACTTTATTTAAATTTGTGGAAAAAACGCAAAATGTATCGCTTTTATCAATCGAATCCTGCAATATACTCCAATTACAATAGACTAGAGTGACCATATTTTAGTAGATTATTGATTGTTTGCTTCAAAATTTTTTCATGATAAAACCAAAAGTTAAATCCTATCATGAATCCATTCGAAATTTATTTATTCATATTCGTTATCATGAATAACGATATTGATGAACACATACACTGATGAACATCGATATTGTCTGAAACATAATTGCTGATGGTATAATTTAAGCGTAAGAGTCGAAATTTAATTGACTTATTATTATTTACTTAGTTCTTAGCCCGCCACATCAGATGGACACCCAATTTAGTGGGTGCCTTGCTGGCCTATGAGAGAGGAATATTATATACATACACAAAAGTCTTTAGTATCGGTTCATCATTATTTATTAATATTATTATCCTACATATTGTGTCTTTAAAACAACTCCAGTAATACATAACTAAAATTCCTTGAGTAAAATAAAATTAGAAATGACTTCGCCAATAGGTATTAAAAAGAAAGGATATTAAAAAAATAAGGAGAAAACTATCCGACACTAGATTCTCACAAACATTTAAAAGGAAATGATGGTCACCACGTTTTTAATGTCGCACGCGCCGCCCGCGGTACCATTTTATGCAAAAACGCAAATTTCTACGAAATTTGAAACGCTCTATTGTTACCGCGCTCGATGAATAAAAATAATCGTTGCAAGTTTTATTTTTAGGGGAAAAATGCATTTCGCTCAAGTCTCAGTCATTATTCTAAGGCAGGAGTGTGCCCGAATACAATTAACGATTGGTTTTTGCATGCGACAGTTTGAATTAATAAGGATTTTTGCATGGTCAAATAGATTATGCATTCGTAAAGGGGCATTATACAATGCGAATTGAAAATATGGCTTAAAAAGTTACAAAAGGTTGAGAACATAAATAACATGAAGTTTAGTTAGTTTTGCTCATGTTTTACTAATTGTATTTTATATAACCTATCCTAAGAAATTACGTTCTAAGTTCGATTTCAGTGAATAATTGGAATTTGATTTGATTCTTTAAAACGATAAGATTTGGTCGGTAATAAAGACAAGACGAGTTTTTACTGATTACTAAAATTTCAAAACTGGATATTTTCTGCAAATTAAATAATTCAATCTTTCTTTTAACATTAATGTTAAAACTAAACTACTAGTTAACTTGTTGACTACGTCAGACAATTCAATTTCAATTAATTACCTGAAATATATGTATATAATAAATATTACAACGTAAATTTCCTTAGATGCCGGTTTTTATGTATGAGTTTATATAATTTACTGCCGCGAACTTCGTTTCTTAGAGGCTATATACCAACATATAGAACATTTTGTTATACTACCACAAATAGTTTGTTCGCTTTTACGTAATAAACCTCTAATCCGTCCGTAATAACCTCGACGTTCGTCGTTCCACAACTGAGCGTTTTGTAAGGAAGTTTTTGCCGCGCACCACCACTATGTGGAACCAGCTGCTTACTAAAGTATCTCCGAACTAATTCGACTTAGGAAGCCCTTCAAGAAGACCGCGCACCAATTCTTGAAAGGCGGACAACGTACTTGCGAACCTTCTTGCAACGTGAGTGTCCATGAGCGGCGGTATCACTTAATATCAGGTGAGCCTCCTGCCCGTTTGCCTCATATTACATACAAAAAACACCTTCCTCAGAGTTCAAGGTTCAGTAAAAAGAAATTACTTGAATTTGCCAGCTGTCTTCGAGTTTTGCGTTTAGTTAGTCAACATATTTTGGGATTCATTTTCATTTATAAGTGTAACATTTTCGTTCAAGACTCGCTCGTATGGTGAGGAAACCGGCCTGCCTTAACCCAAAAGTTACCGGCGTGTGTCAAACACAGCAGTCTAATTACTATTAGAAAAAAAGATCACGGAACGTATAGAGAAATCTGCAGTCCAGACCTAAATGGTTATAGCGCCACTAGTTCAAAGCGCTCAAGTGTTGTCTATAAAAAATCTTACTCGGCTTGTCTTAGCAATAAATTTGAACGTATACATTATGTATACGGATCTCGTTATATTCATTCAAGCTCCAAGATTCAAAAGCTAATATCTACCACCGGCGAAATAATGCGAGTGGTATAGCACAGACCACCAAAGAAAAAGTTTTAACAGTACAGATGCAGAAATGTCTTACAGAGTTACACTTGCTTTAGTGTGTAGTGAATTAGTGTTTTATATATTATTATAACTATTATATAATTAATGCGAAATAAAAGACGGGTGTTATATTGGTAAATCCTGATTTATTTTTTGTACTTCAACATTTTTTATAATCTCACATTTCATTCATACATTGAGTTTGTGCGTTTCGAATCGAAAGAAATATTTTAAACAAGATTTTACACTTTTCGAACCACTCAGCGTTTCGCACCGGCGGTGCTCTGAAATCATCGAAGCATCATTTTATTTCCATTCTAAAAACAAAAACTACAAGCTTCCACCTTTTCAAATCCAAATCATATGACTTTTTATTGGTAACTGATTTATTTGACTTCGACATTTTTTATTTTCATTCGAAAACCGCTTTTGAGTTTCGAAAAGGAATTATTTTAAACAACTTATCTATAAAATTACGAAACTTCAGTGGAAGACTATATAATACTATAAAGGCATATAAAATAACTAGAAATGGAAAGAGTTCTGGTACAGAAAATATAAAATCAATTATTTTTCTCTCATACTTTTGCTAAGTATTAGGAAAGATATAGTAAATGAAATAAAACAAAGAAAAGCGCTTTTGTTGTCGTAATCATGACATTTAATCACGACCCAATTAAATGGAATACAGGCTGACATACTCTTTCCACATTGACGTAACAATAAACAATTTCCTATTAAATTATTGCAACAGCTAATAATACAATTTATATTTTGTTCGATAATACTATTTACATTATCTAGCTGTAAAACGCGACACATATTTCATACATTTAATCATATCAAGACCTGTCAATGTCAAACTTTGAAACGTGACAGTGAAGTTGACAGCCCGGTGGTATGACGTCTTGACTAATAAATTTTTCGAAAACGTAGAAACTTAACAAACGTGTAGTTCTTAACTAGTGTTTTAACAATAAATTAATACTTAACAACAACGTAGCAGTGTTATCAACTAAAAGATCGACGATAAATATTTATCTAGAAATAAATGTATCACAATTTACTAACAATATTTTTGTAAGACAAATGCGTCAACAGAGCACCATATTTTCTTTTAGCCATTGCTTCTTTTGGCCAAGCGTGACGTGAAATAAAATTGTACGAGGTCACGTGACGAGGTAATTGTAACAGCGTTAGTACCACTGTCGTACAGTATTTCTGGCTTTGCGAAGCTAGTGTGACACATCTGGGTTTGGCGATTTTAGCCTGAGTCTAAGGACTCAAAATATCCGAAGTACTGTACAAATGAGTTTCTCGCAAAGGTCTATTGGTAACTTGGAACGGTTAATACTTCGCGACTTCACATTAACCCCTTATTCATAAATCCTAATCAGTCTAATTGCACTCTAAGGTACTCTGTCTCTTTCTGTCAAATTGTGTTTAACCTGCGATGGAAAGAGACAGATTATTACTTTAGATAGGTGTGGACTGATGTTGTATGAGCAATCATAATTACTGTTCTTACTATAGTCATGATATCCTTCCAAGCGTAAACCGAATTGAACGGGAGGAATACTTAAAAACGTGTAATAGGACTGGTTAAGTTTTTATAAAGGGATTAGTGATAGCGAAGACAATATAGACTGATTTAAACGTGTTGTAATAGCTGTTTTAGAATAAGTCTTAACCAATATCAAACACGTTAAAACACCTTTATCATTGAAATATTATTTCAATCAATATTTAAATTCATATCAACCCAAAATCCACTTTATTTTGTACTTGTTGGACTCTTCCTGTCAAATTAGTAAGTTTCGCTAATAACGCCGAAAGACTATGATTTTTTTAAATAAACAATAAAAGTTATCCAAGCACAGAATATATTCAAACAAGTTTATTGGAAATCATTTTCAATATTTTTTTTCCCTTTGAAAATCATTTCATCCAGTAAATGACTTTTCTCAATTTTTAAATCGACTATCTGAATATATTCTACGCAGTTTAACTGCGAACGTAGTAGCACTTGTATCTGTCAAACGTCATAACAATTTGACGGATGGTAGTCCTGTCAAAATCTAGTGGATTTACAGATTGAAGAGTATTTAAATAGGCCCTTGAATAATCTTTCGGTATTCTAAAACTTGGATCAAATCTTATGTATAGAAAACCAGTTTAGACAGTGCTCAAGACTAGATTGCGACTTGAGACATTATTTTACGTATTCAGTTCATCAAAGTGAATTAGTAGTGTGGGTAGACAAAAATTATTTTGATAAAAACATCTACCCTCGTAAATATTTTTCCGTACAAACAAGTTAAAAATTAACTATAATAACGCTGGTAACTCTTCAATGGCAAACATGATAGAAAACGTCTTTGTGATAACTTCAGAGCTTGTTTATCACCTCGATCAAGGCATCTTTACGTTGAGCACATTAAACTATGTACAAATTGTATAAAGTATAGAAAAATATATATATAATATCCATACAAAAATATTCGGATTATTTAAAACGACCAAATAAAGTTCAATATTGCACCTGTTATCAATAAATGGAATTTAATCCCAATAGTTTTTATTAGGGATTTGATCCCAACATTTAATATGTAAATTGTCAAAAATAACAAATTTGAGATAAAATTTCAAAATTCTAAAATCTCTCTTATAAAAATACTTAAACACCCTTATGAAACCTAAATCAGTTCAACACATATTCATCTCTTTCTCTCACATTGTATTTGTACGGTGTTAAAAGAAGACGTCTTTAATAAATAAAATTAAAATTATTATAGACTACTGTTGGAACTGATTTAGTTTTTTTTAATAAGGATATTTTGTACGTATAATCATATATGTTGTATCGAATTCACTAAATGAGCTTTATAAGCTATGTTTAAATGTTTTTATAAGTAAGATAAATCTTTATTGTCTTAAATTACATTTGTGAATGTTGAAAATACTTAAATTTTTCGTATGAAGGCACAAAAATCACAATGAGCGTAAATATAATAGATATCTATAAAACACACTTTTAAAATTTAAAAGGCCGTTACACAGTCATTAAAGTTTTAATAAAGGCCATTCTTCTTCTTTAAAAGGCCACTTCTCCCAAAAGGCAATTAGGCTTATAGTTTACGCACTTAGATCCATGTCAAAGCAGTGATGGGCGTGGGAGTTGGAATGGTGTGGCGCGTGGTGATGTCCCAAAAGAAGTGGGAGAGAGCTATCTCCTAATCCCACGCCACCCAGGGAGGACTCGCCGAGGAGGGAAGAATCTGTAAAATATAGTTAAACGCGTTATAAAGGGTACAAATTGTATGTTTGTAAGCAAAGAAAAGAAAATTTTAGTATATTTTTGCGTATCAAGAAAATACAGCGACTTGATAAGAAGATTTTATAGATATACAAATTGTTTCAGCTAAAATTCTTATAAAAACATTTATACATTATTGATTCGTACAATTTACAAAACAAAAAAATAACACAAATATATACTAAATTATCAGACATGAAGCATAAAGGTCTTTGAAATGTATACTTTAACTTGTAGCGTTAACATTTTCAGAGCTTTCCACAAATGTATAATGTGTGGAAAAACTCTCAAAGCCTACCTCCAATTTTTACATTAATTAAAATAAACATTTATTTGGCAAACAAAATGACCCTTTATTATCCACAATATACTGGGGTTACAATGAAAAGCAAGAATAGTTCCAATCCAATATTGCTTGTGCGTGCGTACAAAGTACACAATATGTCAGAAGTGAAACTTCTTTGGCAAACTAATTTTTAAATCTTGTTTATATTTATACAAATCTAAAACTTTAGATTTCCGAGACGTAGAGGGAAGAAAAAAGAAATATATGTTAGGAATTTAATTAATTTAATTGTCATTAAAATATCAAAAGTGTTGAACAATAATACAAATTATAAATTTAATTTTTTAAATTTATTTATTCGATAAGAAAAACACGTGGCATATTAATTTACAATTCGTCATTTGAGATTTCAATGAATTATTTTGCATAAACGACGTCTCACTCCCTAACAACGCAAGTCTTTGTGACGTTTTCGTAAAAAATTACACTCATGCGCCTTAAAAGTTTCACTTCAAAAATGTTTGTGAAGAGTGAGTGTGTGCTAATAAAAAACCTACCAAGGAGGAAGAAATCAAACAGACACAGAAATAGTCCATCCAAAGTAGAAGTATGTTCGAAATGAACTTACCACTGTGATGGTGCGAGAGGTCTATGTGCAACATGGCTCGGTCAGCTGCGTCAGCTACGGCTGCACTTAATCCAAGTTGAGACGTCGGAGACGAGCAAAGCATGGGATCGCCTATATTTAATAATTACATTTTAATTAGAGATTACGATATATATAATGTGCCAAAAATGGCACACACACTCCGAGGGATCCTAGTCTCATAGCCAAGGAAGCTCTCGACTGGAATCCTCAAGGCAAAAAGCATCCCAAAACAGACCTGACAACAAAATTGCAGAAGCGAAATAAGCTAGAATGACCTGAAGTCATAAGAGCTGCCCAAGGCTGGTGTTTAGAATGCTCTCTGTGCCACTTGGTGATAAATATATAAAATAAAATATGTTTATTATGGAACATAAAATACAGGTATCACTTATTCCACATCATTAAATTTCAATTTGTAGGCATCCCTACTTATCGGCAAAGAAGACAGAGGGTGTAGGCCGAGAGAAAAAGCCGGCGTAAAAAACTCTCGGTACTCTTTTAAAATAGCAAATCATCAAACAACGCCTATTTTAAAACAAATATCTAAATTAATTAGAAGTAGCCCGTCTATCACTAGTCCCAGTATATCAATATTTATGTGTTTAAAAATTAAAAATCTGTGAAATAGGGTGTGCACGATAAAATTGCTCTTTGTTTAGTTTGTTAATAAATAGTGTGATGCAACTGCGGGGGGCGGGGGCCGGGCGAGCGTGTGGTGTGCTATCGTCTCGTTCATTCGCCTGAGGTCACTGACCACACTACACGCCGCTCGACACTGCTTCCGCAGCTGCACACTTTTTTCGAAAATAGTCTTTTAATTCTTCGCCTCGTCATCAACATTTTGGTCTTCGGCCGGATCTTTGAACATTTATAGACAATTAGTGAAGTGTGTAATCATATAAAAGTGATTTGAATCGTGAAGTTTTGTGTGCAAGTGAATATTATAGTGAATCACGCGCACGCCCTTTGTTTCCTTTGTTCTCGGTTCTTATCTGTAGGTACTTTTATTGCGGAATGCACAGTGATTTATTTTATAGTTAAATTGCGTATTTCGTGAAAACTAATAACTATTTTAAATTATTGTTCGTTTCGTTTTATTATTTAAATAGTTAATTAGTTATTTGTTTCGTTTCATCGAAGTACGTAATAAATATACCTGTTTAAGTGTTAGTGAGGTGATAATAATTACTTAAATAGTTATGAAATAAATAGCTATTAAATTATTGTTCGTTCGATTCGTTTTAAGTATTTAAATAAAATACTTGTTGAATTAGTTATTTGTTTCATACTGGTATTCATTATTTTTTTGTGATAGTGAACCTACCTACGTTTAAAGTGAATGTTAGTAATAAATAGTTGTTCGGTTCGTTATATATTTTGTGAAACTATATTTATATAATATTAGAGTGTGTGTTTATGAAAATATAAGTGTGAATAATTTTGTGATTATTTTTACGTTGCGTATTGAAACAAAATAAAATCATAGTGCTCGAGTGCGGTATTATAATTATAAATAATAGTATTTGCTGTTGTGTTAGTACGTAATACGTAAATTATTTTCGTTTTCGTTTCGTAGTAACGAGTTCTTTTCAATAAGTTTTTTGTGTAGTGAATAAAATTATATTTTTTTTGTGCGTTTGGGCGTGGCGTGTGTGTTGAGTGTTGATTTCTTTTAAATTTATTAATTACTTTTTTTCTCCCAAACATGCCAATTACTAGGTCGCTCAGACGCCAGGCCGTAAAATGTGAATCGGCCCCAGTACTTCCTACACATGAAGACGATAATTTAGCAAATCCGCAAGCGCCAGCTCCTGCATCAATGGCAGCCGTTCATCATCAATCAGAGAAGTCATTACACGAATACCCTAAGGCTCCTTCGGAGAAGCGGTCGGTGATGAGCAAGAAGAGTGTGCAGCGGGCAGAGGCTTTAAAAAGATTAGCAGCTGCAAGAATAGAAGAGGCTTGCGCTAAGGCCGCTTTCGCTGAAGCTGAATTAGCGGCTATTGAAGCGCAGGGCAGTGAGCTGGATAGCTTTGCGGAAAATAAAGGCTTCAGAGAGAGAGATAGTTTAGTTAGAGATTGGTTAGATTCAAATGATCATGATGCTCAAACAACTTCGAATCAGCAGCTCGATATTAAGACACTCGTATCTGCGCTTACTGAAGCCGCACGAGCGATGCATAGCCCAAAAACGCTATTCGAATTACCTATTTTTAGCGGGGCAAGTAGTGAGTGGTTAGCGTTTAGAGCAGCATATAATGAAACTAGCAGTAATTTCTCTAAATTGGAAAATTTGGTGCGGCTAAGAAGATGCCTGAAAGGGGCAGCCAAGGAAGCTGCCATTTCTTTGTTTATAGCAGATGTGGAGCCTGGAGAGATTTTGTCACTCTTGGAAGCAAGATTTGGACGACCTGATGCATTAGTTATTACGGAGATGGACAAGATTAAACAACTTTCTAAACTTTCTGATAATCCTCGTGATATTTGTATTTTTTCAAGCAAGATAGTCAATATTGTAACAGTCATAAAGGCTTTAAAAAAGGAGTGCTATTTGTTTAACCCAGAATCTGTGAGAGCTGTTGTGGAGAAGATGACACCGACTTTGAGGTACCGTTGGTATGACTACGCTGCGAGGCGACCTGAGGAAGAGGCGGACTTAGTTAAATTGTCTTCTTTCTTTTCCCGCGAGGCGGACCTTTGCAGTCGGTATGCTCAAGTTGAAAATGTTCAGCACTCGTCATCACAAAGAAGACCGTTTCTAACAAATGTGACATCTACTACTGCAACACCTGGAACGTCTATAACGCCAAAGAAACAGAGCTATGAGTGTACTGTCTGTCATCATTTACATCACATAAAAGACTGTAAACAGTTCAAAGATTTGGAGAGTAAATGTAGATGGGAGAAGGCTAAAGATTTGAACCTGTGTTTTAGATGTTTAGGACGTCGCAATCATCGTCATAGGTGTTCCTATAAGCCATGTGGGATCGAAGGCTGCAAGGCGTCTCATCATTCACTTCTGCATTTTTCAGCGTCTCCCTCAGAGACGCCAGTAGAACCAGCAGGAAAGTCAGCTGTTGTAGCTGCGACTCGACAGAAAGTTGGTAGAGCTTTGTTGAAGATTGTGCCAGTAAGATTGAGAGGTCCCAAGGGGACCATGACTACATTTGCATTGCTTGATGAAGGGTCATCGGTCACTCTTATAGAGAAAGAAGTGGCTTCTGAGATTGGACTTACAGGTCCAGAAGAGTCTTTTATTATTGAAGGGGTGGCAGGAGCACGTACGGAGGCTTCCAGTTCAAGGAGAGTGAGTCTCTATATTAATGGTGTTCACATGGATAAGGAGCATAAAATAGAAGCACGAACAATAAATAGTTTGAATCTTAATCACCAATCGGTGGATGCAGATATGGTAGAAGGTTGTGATCACCTTCTGGAAATAACCGAGGATCTTACATATGATCGAGGTACACCTACTCTTCTTATTGGCCAGGACAACTGGCATTTGATTATTTCGAGGAAGATAAGAAGTGGTGGGTGCAGAGATCCAGTTGCATCATTAACAGAATTAGGTTGGGTATTGCACGGGCCTACTAAGGGTCCTGGAAAAGTTAGTGTATTAAAGCTGGTAAATCATAATGAAGAAGAAGCTGAAAAGAATGAAGTTAAATTAGAAGATTTGTTCAAGAAGTTTTTAAGTATAGATTCACTAGGAATCGAACCAAAACGTCAAAAAAATGATCCAGAGGAACGCGCGTTGTCATTATTAAAGAGCTACAGCCACCGTCTTCCTGATGGACGTTTTGAATCGGGGTTGTTGTGGCGCAAAGAAGAACTGGAGTTACCAGAAAATAGAGAGAATGCTTTAAGAAGATTGATAGCGATTGAGAAGAAATTAGATAAAAACCCTAAGCAGAAGATGGAATATAATGCTCAAATTGAGTATCTTTTAGAATGTGGCTATGCTGAGGAGGCCCTACCTTCGTCTCGTTCTGGCCGCACTTGGTACCTACCACATTTTGCTGTGATTAATCCATCAAAACCGAAACCGCGAATAGTTCTGGACGCTGCTGCTAAAACGAATGGGATATCCTTGAATGACATGTTACTTACCGGACCAGATCTGTTACAATCACTACCTGGAGTTTTGATGCGCTTTCGACAAAGACCAATTGCTGTGTCAGGAGATATTCGTGAAATGTTTCTTCAAATCAAAATTAGGACTGAGGACAGGGATGCATTGCGTTTTTTATGGCGAGGTGATAGACGCGAAAATGAACCTCAAGAATATCGTATGACAAGAGTGATTTTTGGTGCGGCGTCTTCACCTTGTACTGCCATTTACATTAAAAATTTAAATGCTGAAGAATATCGACGGGAGTACCCTGAAGCTGCAGATGCAATTTGTCGCAATCACTACATGGATGATTATCTCCAAAGTTTTGATTCTGTGGAAGAAGCTAAGCGTATAGCAAAAGAGGTCAGTTTTGTGCACCGTCAAGGAAAATTTCATTTACAAAAATGGGCGAGTAACGAATTTGAAGTTATAGCCGAGATGGAGTCGCAACTCCAGAATAGAAGTAAAGAAGTCGAGCTTCAAAATAGCTCATTAGCTCCGTTGGAAAAGACTTTGGGTCTAGTTTGGAGAACCACTGATGATCACCTTACTTTTAATCTGGATATTAAAAGGGCTAATCTGGAAGTACTCGAAGGGACCAAGCGACCCACTAAACGAGAATTCCTAAAAGTTATTATGTCTCTTTTTGACCCCTTGGGTCTTATTACACCGATAACTTTGCCCGCAAGAGGGATATTACAAGAATCGTGGCGCCTCGGTCTTCTATGGGACAGCCTTCTTTCAGATGATTTGCATGAAAAATGGCTCGATTGGCTAGGTCATATGAGGCAGTTAAAGAACCTTTACATTCCTCGTTGTTATCCAGGTGGTTCAGTGGCCAATGATTTAGAGATGCACATTTTCGTGGATGCAAGCCAGACGGCGTATGTGGCTGCTGTATATTGGCGTGCTGTATTAGGAAATGAAGATGTGAAGGTCTCACTAGTTATGGCAAAGGGTAGAGTGGCACCAATAAAATTAGTTTCTATACCAAGATTAGAATTGCAAGCTGCCGTGCTTGGATGCCGTCTAGCCCGAAATGTGGAAACGGAACATGATCTAAAACCAAGACGTAGAATATTTTGGACAGATTCTCGTACAGTACTCGCGTGGTTGCGCTCAGGTCCTCGGGTGTTTAAGCCATTTGTTGCACATAGAGTAGCTGAAATAGAGGAAGAGACAAGAGTCAGTGAATGGCGCTGGATTCCCACTGGAGAAAATGTGGCCGATGATGCCACTAGAGATGTACCTCGAAATTTCAATAGGGATCATCGATGGTTTCGCGGTCCCAGTTTTCTATATTCTCCAGAAGAGACGTGGCCTAAGGAAAAAATAGAAGAAGCGGGAACTGTACAAACTACAGGAGAAGAGCGAGTGACAGTTGTCGAAAGTTGTACAATTAATCATCTAATAACTGGCTTGCCTGATGTATCCAGATTTTCGTCCTGGATGCGCCTAATAAGAACAACGGGTAGAGTTTTACAGTTCATTGACTTATCCCGCAAAACTCAAATTACTGCTTCGGTTCAAATTAGACAGAAACGGCAAGCGAGGAATGACGACATTTTATGGAAGCCGAATGCATCTCGACCAAAATTACTATCACGTAACGCCCATTCAGCTAGAGCAGGGGCATATAGCTCAAATAACAATTATATTCCGTTAGACCCTCATTACATCATCAGAGCAGAGAGCTTGTGGTGGAAAGCTTCTCAACATGAGAGTTTTGAAAATGAAATTATTTCGTTACAGAAGAAGCTTCCTTTGAGGAGAGACAGTCGATTGCGGACTTTAAACGTTATCATGGATAATGAGGGTATAATTCGGTTGAAATCTAGAATCGATGCTGCTCTCTATCTGAACGACGAACAGCGAAGTCCTCCAATTTTGGATGGTGAACACAGATACACCCGCTTGTTCATCACCTGGTTACACTGTAAAAACAATCATGCAGGACCTGATACGGTGATGAATGAAGTTCGATCTCGTTTCTGGGTGATACGATTGAGAACGGTTACTCGAAGTATTGTGAAGAGTTGTGTCCAATGCAGAATACTACGGGCAAAACCGGCGCAGCCTGCCACTGGTGATCACCCCGGAACAAGGTTGGCCCATCATCAACGCCCATTTTCTTTTGTGGGGTTAGACTATTTTGGCCCTTATAGCGTTACGGTAGGCCGCCACCATGAGAAGAGGTATGTTGCCCTATTTACTTGCCTTACAACTCGGGCTATCCATTTAGAGATTGCAGGGTCATTAAGTACAGATAGCGCAATTATGGCCCTGCGACGTATGATAGCGAGACGGGGATGCCCTACAGAAATACACAGCGATAATGGGACGAATCTCCGCGGAGCTGATGCAGAACTAAGGAGGGCAGCGCTTGAAATAACAAAAGATGAGGCGGAGGTAAGGGCGATACGATGGCGCTTTATTCCTCCAGGTGCTCCTTTCATGGGAGGAGCTTGGGAGCGAATGGTACAGTCAGTGAAGAGGGCGCTGGCAGCAACACTAAAGGAACGCCACCCGTCAGAGGAGATGTTGCTTACTTTGCTTTTAGAAGCAGAATATGTGGTGAATAATCGACCACTAACTCCTGTATCAACTTCACCAGAGGACATCGAAGCTTTAACACCGTTACACTTCATTCTTGGTGGTCCAGCGAGGGTTCCACAACCCGGGAGTTTTGCTGACGCTGACTTAAATCACGGGCGAATTTGGCGGCGTACACAACGGCTGGCAGATATGTTTTGGTCACGCTGGACCAAAGAGTATTTATTAAACATTTTACAGTCTCGTCGAGATCCTACAGGTCGAGGGAAGATGCCAGAGCTGGGAGATTTGGTGCTCGTGGTGGACGGAACCCTGCCCAGAAATTCGTGGCCTAGGGGAAGGGTCGTGGCGACTTTCCCGGGAAAAGATGGCGTCACTCGCGTGGTCGAGGTGCAGACTAAGGCTGGAGTACTTAAGAGGCCAACCAAGAAGATCATCGTGCTGCTGACGGAGAGTGCGCAGGACGCACTGGGGGGGAGAATGTGCACGATAAAATTGCTCTTTGTTTAGTTTGTTAATAAATAGTGTGATGCAACTGCGGGGGCGGGGGCCGGGCGAGCGTGTGGTGTGCTATCGTCTCGTTCATTCGCCTGAGGTCACTGACCACACTACACGCCGCTCGACACTGCTTCCGCAGCTGCACATAGGGTTTAAGTAAGGGTAACTAGTGGACTTATGCAATCACTGGACTTATGCAATCAACGGCAGCAAATTTATGTTAATTATCGAACACCAATATTTGCGTTATAAATACGTTTAGAGTAATTAAGTAACTATTTGGTTATATAAGGTTGTGCCAGAACCAGTCTCTTGCACAGATCTCCGTTAGCAAAGACGTTGCGCCTGAATTCCGACTCCGATACTTCTTTATATGTTTGCAGAGTGAGTTCGCAGTTGCGATATTGTGTATATTATGTATTCAATATTATATATTTTTGTAAATAAATAAATACATACCCGTGGTGACTGGATTGTGTGAGTCATCATCCATAAGATCTTCGATCTGCGCAAGATTCAACACCGCTTCGCTTTCTTCGCCGCTTAACAGACTCGGTGGTGGTGATAGACGCATCTGTAATATAATGTATATAAATATAAAAAATACGAATTTATATAGTATGGTTTAATAAGAATATAATATAATTTTTAATATCAAAAAGGTTAGTCGACATCACAGGAGACCGAAGAGCTGGCAGCTACCTCGGACAAAGAATTGGTCTAGCGATTCAAAGGGGGAACGCTGCCAGTATCTTCGGAACCTTGCCTAAAGGGACTCCTTTTAATTATATATTTTATGGTAAGTTATTTTTTTTTGTTCTTATAATATCAGATAGTGTAAAATATATTTTTAAATTTAATTTAATAAGAATTAGTATGTAAACAATCTGCACTTCTCTTACTAACTGCTCTTACTCTTCTTAGTTTTCTTTGTATCAAAAACATAGCGATTAAAAAGAGTGGAGAAGAGTCCTGGCCTGTTCTATTCGCCTTTGGAACGGGTAATAAATAAAGACGTTCTTAACTGTATCTATGTATGTAATCCCCAATTACATACCTTAATATCCTTGTGGTTGAAGAGATGGTCCGTCACGGGTTCGAGGCATAAATCAGGTTCCAGACAGTCTAAGGACAGACCAT